TTGTTGTTTGACCATTTCTCGATGTGGCGGTGGGATTTTTTGGACATTTTTTAGATTTTCTTTTGGGATTTTAGACAGTGGTCTTCTGCAGGGCAGGGGCTCCACCCGACGAAGCGGGATCGGAGGGGCCTTGTGACCGCTGAATTTGCAGCTCGTAGATGTTGTTTTTTTTATGGATGGAAAAGGCGGACGGGAAAAAAAAAAAAAAAAAAAAAGTTAAGGGATCTGGTCATCAATTTGTTATCCATATGGATAAGATAGAAGATTTTAGTCACGTGAGCGATCCACGTGGATAGGATATTAGTATGATATCCATCACGTGAGCTATCCACCTGGCTGTCTCTTATACACATCTAGATGTGTATAAGAGACAGGAGGAGGGGGAGGGGGGAGGGGAAAGAAGTGTCGTTGTCCGCCCGTCAAGCCACGCCGGCGGGCATTTGCAGGCGGTGGAGCCAACTGCAGAAGTAGCCTCTTTTTTTTTTTTTTTTTTTATAGAGGGAAAGCTGAGAATGCTCTTTGCAGCTTGTATGGTAGAGGGCGCGAGGGGCGAGGTCCCATTAGCAAAGAGGATTGGGCTTAACGCCTGAATGTGGACGTCTTTACCGAGAGGTGCAGAAAATGGCACTTACCACGTCCGCTTTTCTGCATCTCTGCCAAAAGCCCATCCAGATTCAGGAGCTCAGTCCAATCCTCTTTGCTACTGGGACATCTGCCCAGGGAGCGCCTTTTTTTTAATTTATTATTTTTTATTTTTTATTTTACAAGGGAGCGCTTTTCCGTTCCATCGATGCTTTTCATTCTTTTATTTTTTATTTTTTATTTTACAAGGGAGCGCTTTTCCGTTCCATCGATGCTTTTCATTCTTTTTGCATTCTTCTCGTAATGTTCTTGATGCTATTAATGGATCTGAGCGTTGGCTATAGTGTCTTGGCTATAGCGTCTTGGCTATAGTGTCTTGGCTATAGTGCTTTGGCTACCGTCTTCACCCGAATAGAACGCCCCCCGGTAATTATCGCCGTATCTGGGCTGAAGGTTGTGCCAGATACAGGTATAATGACCGGGGGGCGTTCTATTCGGGTGAAGACGGTAGTATAGAGCCTTGGCTATAGTGCCTTGGCTATGCTGTCCGAATGAAAACTGACCTTCAACGACATTGGTTTTAGTGTCTTGGCTATAGTGCCTTGGGTATAGTGCCTTGGCTATAGTGTCTTGGCCTCGGCTATGGTGTCCCAATTAAAACTGAGCTTCAAGAACATTGGCTATAGTGTCTTGGCTATAGTGTCCTGGCTTTGCCTATAGTGTCCTGGCATTGGCTATAATGTCTTGGCGATGGTGTCCCAATGACAACTGGGCTTCCGGCTCGCAGTTTCCGAAAACTGAGTGTGCCTTCAGGTGAGCTTCAAGAAGAAATAATAAAAAAAAAAAAAAAAAAAAAAAAAAAAAAAAAAAAGCTTTTTTTCTTTTGTTTGTTTTTTTTTACGAACTTGACAGATCTTGTTTTTGTTTTGTTTTTTTTCCCCTTTTTTTTCCCTCTTTTCTTTATTCTCTGTTCTTTTCCCAGCGTCCCATTTCACATTTCACAAAAGGAAGTAGTTCATGCCATTGCTTGAGCAGCATTGCGGATACAGGTCTTATATTGTCCTCTTCTCCCTCTCTGCCTACGGTTTACAGGGCACATCTGTTTCTCTCCTTGACGATATATGTATATATATATATATACACATTATTCTCCTGATGAGTCGGTGAAACTCCGACGAAACAGTTTTTCACAGCCCCTCGTTGTTGTCCTCTTTTCCTTCCGTCTCTGCCTACGGTTTACAGGGCAGCTCTGTTTGACGATATATATATATATATACACATATATATATACATCGTCAAACAGAATATATATATGATAGTCTACTTTGATTTTGGTTAAGGTAGATTATCATTTACAGTGTAATCAGTGAGGGGATTCTGCAGACTGTTGGGGTTCAGCCTCCTGATGAGTCGGTGAAACTCCGACGAAACAGTTTGTCACAGCCCCTCGTTTGTTGTCCTCTTCTCTCTCTCTGCCTACGGTTTTACCGGGCAGTTCTGTTTGTGACGATATATAAATGTATTATATATTATATATATAGTGATTAGTCGGTGAAACTCTGACGAAACAGTTTGTCACTGCCCCTCTTTTGTTGTCCTCTTCTCCTCTTCTCCCTCTCTGCCACCTACGGTTTACCGTCGGCAGCTCTGTTTGACGATAGTCTTGACAGATCTTGTCCACTCACAGGAAAGAAGAAGAGAGGGAGGGCGGAAGAGGGGAAGTGGTTGAGCAGCAGCACTCAGACAGGGAAAGGTGAAAGGCATGAAAAGGTTTGGGGCAGGTAGGGCGAAGATTCAGTGAAGTTTCGAGGAGTGGTCGACAACGGTTCAGGGAAGGAATAAGGAAGATAGAAAGGCGCGACTGATTTGGGAAAAAAAAAAAAAAAAAAAAAAGATCTACAGGGATTTGAGCAGTGGATAAAAAGTCAGGGATCAACGATTACAAAAAAATCCTAATTAGAAACTTCGTTGTAGTCTTTGATGAATTTTTCTTTTGTTGTGGTGGGGACTTTTG